AGACTCGCTTGAGCCCAGGAGTTGGAGGTTGCTGTGAGCTGTAAAGCCACGGCACTCTACCCAGGGGGACAGCTTGAGGATCTGTCTCCAAAAAAAAAAAAAAAAAAGACAAATTTATAATTGTTCCAACTTGGGTTGTTGGAATGTTGAATGCTCCCTATCACGTGTATAATCAGCTCTGCAATGGTTATCCTTGTGCATGAAGAGTTCTGTACGATGCCTAGATGTGGAATCACTGGGCCAAAGGAAGATAGTTTTTTTTCTTTGAAAGATCCTGCCAAATTTGACCTCAAAAGTGAGTGGGTCATCTGGGTGTGGTGGCTCACGCCTGTAATCCTAGCCGCTGCTCTGGGAGGCCAAGGTGGGTGAATTGCCTAAGCTCAGAGGTTCGAGACCATCCTGAGCTGGAGTGAGCCAGAGGGAGACCCCGTCTCTACCAAAAAAAGCTGGGCATTATGGTGGGCGCCTGTAGTCCCAAGTACTTGGGAGGCTAAGGGCAAGAGAATCGCTAAAGGAAGAAAATAAAAAAAAAGAACCTCAAACTAGGATGATTGAAAGCCAGTTGAAAGCAAAATTAAAAAAAAAAAAAGTGACTGGGTCAATTTTTACAGTCACTGATTCATGCCTGTAATTTCAGCACTTTGGGAGGCTGTGGCAGGAGGAATACTTGAGGCCAGGAGTTTGAGACCAGCCTGGGCAACATAGGGAGATCCTATCTCTACAAAAAGTAATTAGCTGGGCTTGGTGGTGAGCACCTACAGTCCTAGCTACTTCTGAGGCTAAGGCAAAAGGACTGCTTAAGCCCAAGAGTTTGAGATTGCAGTGAGCTGTTATCATGCTACTATACTCCAACTTGGCAACAGTGCAAGACCCTGCCTTAAAAAAAAATGTGCATATATATATATATATATGTGCATGTGTGTATATATATGTACATATGTATATGTGTATACATGTATATATACACACACACACACACACACATAGAATCAACAACTCTGCCAGAGAACCTATCCTTTTGCCAACACTTGGTAATATCATTTTGTAATTTTTACTCCAGACTGCAATGTTAAAACAAGCACCTCTGTTATTTTAAGGTGTCCTGACTTCACCCAGGAGGAACATTTTCTCATGTCTGGGATTCATCTAGAGTACCTCATACTGGACTTGTACTGTGCACAGTCCACAGTTCCCTCTGTTTGAATTTCTCAATCACTAGGTATATCTTTTTTATTTTTATAGAGACAGAGGGCCATTTTGTTTTCCAGGCTGTAGTGCACTGGTACAATCACAGCTCACCATAACCTACAATTCCTGGGCTCAAGTGATCTTCCTGTCTCAGCTTCCCAAGTAGCTGGGACTACAGCTGCCCGGCACCACACCAAGGCTTATTTAAAAAAAAAAAATTTCTTTCTAGAGATGGGGGTCTCACTATGTGGCCCAGGCTGATCCCAAACTCCTGGCCTCAAGTAATCCTCCAGCCTTGGCTTCCCAAAGTGCGAAGATTACAGATGTGAGCCACCATGCCTAGTCATGAAGTATCATTTAAAATACAGTAGAACCGCTTGGTGCCTATAGCACAGTGATTACGGCAGTGGCCACATACAGAGGCAGGTGGGTTCGACCCAGCCTGGGCCTGCTAAACAATGACAACTGCAGGCTCAGCGCCTATGGCTCAAGTGGCTGAGGCACCAGCCACATACACCTAAGGTGGTGGGTTTGAATCCAGCCTGGCCCGCCAAACAACAACGATGGCTGCAACCAAAAAATAGCCGGGTGTTGTGGTGGGCACCTGTAATCCCAGCTACTTGGGAGGCTGAGGCAGAAGACTTGCTTGAGCCCAGGAGTTGGAGGTTGCTGTGAGCTGTGATGCCACAGCACTCTACCCAGGGGGACAGCTTGAGGCTCTGTCTCAAAAAAACGACAACTGCAATAAAAAAAATAGCCAGGCATGGGCAGCGCCTGTGGCTCAAAGGAGTAGGGCACTGGCCCCAAATGCTGGAGGTGGCAGGTTCAAACCCAGCCCTGGCCAAAAAAAAAAGCCAGGCATTGTGGTAGGCACCTATAGTCCCAGCTACTTGGGAGGCTGAGGCAAGAGAATTGCTTAAGCCCTAGCAGGGGTCCTCAAACTTTTTAAACAGGGGGCCAGTTCACTGTCCCTCAGACCATTGAAGGGCCGGACTGCGGCCCCGGGAAGAGTCGCTACTAAGCAGGACAGGCAGCAGTGGCTAAAACACCCGGTGGGCCGGCTAAATGTCCTAGGCAGGCTGCATGTGGCCCACAGGCCATAGTTTGGGGATGCCCGCATAGAGTTTGAGGTTGCTGTGAGTTATGATGCTACAGCACTCTACTGAGGGTGAAACAGTGAGACTCTGTCTCAAAAAATAATAATAATAAATAAAATAAAATAAAATAAAATAAGGTAGAACCTCCAGAGTCAAGCACCTCCTTATGTTGACCTGATTTTCACAGACTGGATATGTACCCCATGTATGTATGTGAGTCACTGTGCCCAGCTGAGACTAATTTTTTAAAAATATACAAGAAAAACATGGAAGATGCTATAATATTATCAGCCAGGACAGGAACAAGGAAAAATTACCTGTCCCTTCCCTGTATTTTAAGGTTCTGTAAAGTAGTTATATTGCTTACAAAAACATAAAAATAAACACAACTTTATTACACTAAACTTATAAGAAGCCAGAGCTGCTGAGTGTAAAGAGGCCTGTGCAGACTATAATGACATCCAGCCCCAAGAGGGCAGGCAGAGTGGGCACCTGCGTGGATGAACCACACAATCTGATGCTGCCACATTAAGTGTAGGCCCTGGGCCTGGAAGCAGGGATATGAGGCAGTACTGGGATGGAAACACACTGCCTGGCATCCTGTCCACCATGCATCTGATGCTGGCCTTGAGGTCGGAGGCCAGATACAATGAAATCACAACACTGTGTTACTCAAGATCAGCCACGGAGAAATCCTGGGAGCCCAGGGCACTCAAAGATATGTGAGCTGGTACGGTGAGAGAGGTGAGTGGAAAAGCAAGCAAGCTGAGGAGAACAAATGCCAGTAAGAAATTTTGTTTTAGGCCAGGTATGACAGCTCATGCCTGTAAACCCAGCACTTTGGGACGCCAGGGCAGGTGGATTATCTGAGCTCAGGAGTTTGAGACCAGCTTGAGTAAGAGGAGGACCCCGTCTCTACTAAAAATAGAAAAATTAGCCAGGCATGGTGGTAGGCACCTGTATCCCAGCTACTCGGGAGGCTAAGGCAGGAGGATGGCTTTGAGCCCGAGTTTGAGGTTATTGTGAGTGTGACACCACAGTGCTCTACCCAGGGTGACAGTGTTTTGTCTCAAAACAAAACAAACACGAACTTTTGTTTTACAGAGACAAGCTCCAAACATGTACACCCAAGATGCATAAAATATTGAAAACTAGACCACAATATCCATCAAAAAGAGAGGAGTTAATATTAAAAAAAAAAAAAGGCCAGGTTTATATGCATTGTCATTTAAAAAAGTCTCCAAGAAACACTAAATCAAAGCAAGTCACAGAAGACACAGTAGGAGTGATTCTTATATAAAGTTCCACAGGCTTAGGTATGATAAGCTTATATAGAGAAAAATGAAATCAGTAAAGAGCAGTTACCTCAGCAGAGGGGGCCTGGGGAACACAGAGGGCTTCTACTTTTTATCGTACCGTTCACATTTGTTTTGTTTTTATGACCACTATTACTTTCACAACAGCATTGTATTTTGAGTCTAAGATACATGGTTTTTCATTCTAACATCTATGAAATTATCATGTTTGTTCCATTCATTTTCAGTAATTTTTTTAAAGATTCAAACATCTTTCAATATGTCTTTTTTTTTGAGACAGAGCCTCAAGCTGTCCCCCTGGGTAGAGTGCCGTGGCATTACAGCTCACAGCAACCTCCAACTCCTGGGCTCAAGCGAGTCTCTTGCCTCCGCCTCCCAAGTAGCTGGGACCACAGGCGCCCACCACAACGCCCGGCTATTTTTTGGTTGCAGCCGTCATTGGTGTTTGGCGGGTCCGGGCTGGAGATTCGAACCCGCCACCTTAGGTGTACGTGGCTGGCACCTTAGCCGGTTGAGCTATAGGCGCCGAGCCCAATATGTCTTATGGTCAATTGGATCTTTTGATGAAATAGGGTAAAGCTAAACATAAATTCTTTATTCAAGAAAGAGGACATAGTAATGAGTATTCAATACTGACAGTCTGATCCAATCAGAGCTAAAAGGACTACCTGATTGTGCCCTTCATATTTAATATGAAGCAAGCAAGGGGTGAAATGACACATCTGAGATTTGCTTTAGAATACTTCAGTAAAACAAGAAGAAAAAGAAAAGGGTTACATGAAAAAAATGTGGAAAATCTTAACTATTCAATGTGGGTGATGGATATATTTGGGGTCACTGAATTATTCTCTACTTTTATGTACACTTGAGAATATCCAGAATAAAAAGGGTCAGAATTGCACAAGACTGTGAAATCCACAGGGACAGGGACCAAGCACTGAGTATTCATAGAGTCCATGAGTTAGACACACCTAGCAAGATGACCTTGGTCACCTGGGCTGAGAGTGGTTGAAGGGTATCAGTGGAAAGAGGAAAGGCAATTCTGGGAAGGAGGAAAGACCTGTCTCTAAATGGGAAGTGCAATACCCTGTCCTCCCTCTGCCCCTCAGAAATGAGCTCACACAACACTTCCCTCTGCTAAGACCTCACCCCAAATCCCCAGGGTCTCAGGGAGCACATACCCAGGACACGGGGCAGAGCGACTTGTACACACGGTGGTACCATTCACACACAGAGACATCACCCCCTTTTGCAGTCATTGCCTTCTGGCAGCGGTGGTAGTCTGTAAATAAGAGTTCAACCATTAGACCACACCAATGTCCAGAACACATCTTTGATCAAAATTCAGGGAGAAATACTTTTTACTTCTTCTTCAGTTATATATGTACATACTTACAGAAAATCAGTTTAATTTTACAAGGGCTAGCTACACCTCACTAAATAGATTTTGCAACCCCTATAAAACTGCTGTTCATTCTGGTATCAGGATTGATGGGGAAACATGAGAGTCATATGTGGGGATTATGGAAATCCAGAAACAGGCAAGGGAAAGACAGTCTTTTTTTTTTTTGAGACAGAGTCTCAAGCTGTCCCCCTACGTAGAGTGCTATGGCATCACAGCTCACAGCAACCTCCAACTCCTGGACTTAAGCGAGTCTCCTGACTCTGCCTCCCAAGTAGCTAGGACCACAGACGCCGGCCACAATGCCCAGCTATTTTTTTGGTTGCAGCCATCATTGTTGTTTGGCGGGCCGGGCTAGATTCGAACCCACCACCTTAGATGTATGTGGCTGGCACCTTAGCTACTTGAACCACTGGCACCGAGCCTGGGAAGACAGTCTTGATGCCAAGATGCTGAGTCCTAAAGAGGAAGGTAGGAGGGGATAATATGGTTTTTAAAAGTACACAATTAAGGCCAGGTACTAGGTACAATGGCTCACACCTGTAATCCTAGCACTCTGGGAGGCTAAGACAGGAATATCACCTGAGCTCAAGAGTTCTAGACCAGTCTGAGCAGGAGTAAGACCGTGTCTCTACAAAAATTAGAAAATCAGGCCAGGTGCAACAGCTCACGCCTGTAATCCTAGCACTAGCCTAAGTGGGTGGACTGCCTGAGTTCAAGAGTTTCAGGCCAGCCAGAGCAAGAGTGAGACCCTGTCTGTAAAAAAGATAGCTTGGCATTGTGGCAGGTGCCTATAGTCCCAGCTACTCAGGAAGCTGAGCCAAGATGATCTCTAGAGCCCAAGAGTTTAAGGTTGCTATTGAGTTATGATATCATGGCACTCTACCAAGGACAATAAAAGTGACTCTGTTTCCAAAAAACTAAAAAATAGAAAAATTAGCCAGGCATGCTGGAGGGTGCTGTTATCCTAGCTACTCAGGAAGCTGAGACAGATCGATCACTTGGGCCCAAGAATTTGAGGTTGCAGTGAGCTATGATGATGTAATTGTATGTACTGTGGTCTCAGATGACAGAATGAGACCCTGTCTCAGAAAGAGAAAAAAAGGCCTTGGTGGACTGTGCCCATAGTTCAGTGGGTAGGACACCAGCCACATACACCAAGGCTGGTGGGTTCGAATCTGGTCTGAGCCAACTAAAATCAACAATGACAACAACGACAAAAACAGCTGGGCATTATGGCAGGCACCTATAGTCCTAGCTACTTGAGAGGATGAGGCAATAGAATCACTTAAGCTCAAGAGCTTGAGGTTGCTGTGAGCTGTAATGCCACGGCACTCTACCAAGGGCAACATAGTGAGACTCTGTCTAAAAAAAAGGCCCTTGGTGGCTCACACCTATAATTCTAGCATTCTGGGAGGCTGAGGCAGGTAAACTACCTGAGCTCAGGAGTTTGAGACCAGCCTGAGGAAGATCGAAACACCATCTCTACCAAAAATAGGAAAACTAGCTGGGTGTAGTGGCACACACCTGTAGTCCCAGTGGTTCAGGAAGCTGAGGCAAGAGATCAAGCCCAAGAGTCTGAGGTTGCTGTGAGTTATGATGACGCCATAGCACTTTATCCAGGGCAACAGAGTAAGACTATATCTCAAAAA